CAGCCAGTCCAGAGACTTCAGGTTCCCTTCCTGGGAGCAGCCAGTGCTGACTGTCCTGCTGGGCCAGCCCAGCAGTCTTACCTCCCTGAAGGAGGGGCCCCAAGTTGTTCCTCTCACCTGCCCAGGAGAATCCCTGGCCTATGGCAACACACACATCTTCAGGCTCCGGGAGGACCGGAGGCTGGGAAGCAGCAGACACAGCGGAGACAGAGGTGCAGGGCAAAGTGTGGTTTCCCCTTCCCTGCAGACGGGCCGGCGTCAGGGCGCCAGGCTGAGAGCAGCTGGCGGAAGCAGAAGTCTATCCGTTCCCTCCCAGAGGCCCCTGGGAGGAGAGCCTGCAGTTCTCCCTTGGGGTCCAGGAGCCTTTCGTGGCCACCCCACAGCAGCTGGGGGAGAGCAGCGCATCCCAGGGACAGGGCCGGGGCCAGGTGGAGAAGGGCGAGGATTCCAGTCCAGGCGTCCGGCTGGGACTGGAATGGGCTGTCTGTGCTGGGAGTAGGGGCCTGGCTCACCTCTGCTGCTGGCCCTGCCTCAGCTCTGGGACACCTTTCCTCCCACTGCCCAGACCGGGAGCAACACACCCTTCTCTTCTTGGGGGCTTTGGGGAAAGACAGACCCAGACCCAGAGAAATTTCCTCCTATGACCATCCAGGCAGCCATTGTCTCCCCACATCCAGACACGGAGCTGCCCCAGCAGCCCAGGGACACAGACTGGGAGCACACACCCTCCCGCCCAGGTTTGTTTATCTGGCTAGTTGTGTCAGCTGCCCGGCCAAGCCACACAGGCGCCTGAGTCCTGGCAGACATAAACCAAGCCAGCCCCCCTCCCACCCTGGCAAAGCCCCAAGCGGGGCGGCCGCCATCCTGCAGCCCTCCGCCCAGCCCCACTCACATCATCCCATCTGATGAAGCGCTCCCCTTGGCTCAGATAGGCCTTCACCCCGGGGGGTTGCAGGACAGGGTTAAGCAGAGACATAGTGCCAAGCGTCCGTCTTAGGAGAGGCTGGGCAGGCACAGAGCGCAGGAGGGGAGGAAGGCGGGCGGGGGTGGGGGGGAGACTAGCTGGGCTCACATGGCACCCGCCCCAGCTAGTCCGGAAGTCTGGGCGCACTTACAGCCCACGGGGGGCAGTAGCTGGGTGCAGAGCTGAGTGCTTCAGCCAGAGGCCCATCTGCCTTTTAAATCAACCTCGTCCCGCCCACCCGCAGTGGGGGGCTGTGGTCACTGCTCCTGCCCACGGAGGCCGGGCTCCCCTCCGCAAAGCCCGCCCCCCCTCACCCGGTGCCTCAGCACTTCCTGCTCAGGGCTTCCTTCTCTGTGCTGCTCAAGAAGCAGGTCCCGAGGCCTGGGCACCCCAGAGCAGGGGCCTCTCCATCCCAGGGGTCATCCCTGGTCAGATGTGGGAAGGGGCCAGCTGGGGATATGCCCAGGTGGACACTGAGGGGGGCGAGCAAGGAGCTCACGAGGGGAAGGGACCCCACAGAGGTGGGGTCCAGAGCACAGGGGTCACTCTCAGAGGCCGAGGAGCCTGGGACCACCCTGGAGGTGGGAGTTGAGGGAGAAGCAGGGTCCAGCTGGGACTGAGCATTTTGAATAAGCAAAGTCTGCTGAACACCCAGCCTCTCCTTCTCGGTGCTTCCTCCCCATGAAAATGAGGTGCAAGTGAGGCAATCATGCCCCTCACCCGCATCACACATGACTCCCCCCTCTTGGCCCTCCGGACCTGGACGAGGCCTGAAACCTCACTGACCAGCCACCACTCCACACACCGCTGCTTCAAATACCCCTCAGCCACCAGCCTCCACCGTGCTGTCCTGCCAGGCTCCCTCCTCTGCCCTGTGCCGGGGCCTGTGGGAGAGAACGCTTGGGGCAGGAGGGCTGCTCCCAGGGGCCTCAGCTCGCAGTGCTGCTCAGGGATCATGGCCCTAACTCTGCTCCGGCCCAGGGCCCGGCCCGGGAGCTCAGTCACAGCCCAGTCCAGCCTAGCCCACTTCCTCTTGCCTAATCTGCTCTCATCACCCTTCTTAACCCAGCTGGGGGAGCTGGGAGCTCTGCCCCGGACTTCCTTCCCCTCTCAGGGCCCGGCTGTCTGTTCCAGTTCCGACCGTGGACACTTGTGCCACCCCCTGACAACAACAGGACCCTCACCCAGGCCCTAGAACTGCCTCTGATGGCCAGTCTGGCCCAGGGCAGGAGGATGGGGGCCTCTAGGGGTTGGAGCTGAGGGGGTTCCTAGCACAAAAATAAGCCCTGGAAAAATGATGCTAAGACCACTGGGGTGGATCCTGGAGCAAGGCCTGACTGAACCTGTGGAAACAGCTTGGGAATCCTCCATGCTGCCATGCCCTGTGCCCTCAGGACTCAGCCGCCCTCCCCTCCCTCTAAGCCCTGCTGTCTCTCATCTCTCCTCCCTCATCCCTCCAGCCTTGGACCCCTCTGGGGGCCCCTCTGGTGTCTCCTGCTCTTCTGATTCCCTTCCTGGGATCAGGTTCCCTCTCTGTCTGTTTGAATGCATTTTGCAAGGGAAACCCCTGTCCCTTCCCAAAGCCCCTGCACCTGTCACCTGCAGCCGGCCCTGCTCCTGTACCCAATTCCTCCCTCTGGTCCACCCTGCAGCCTTCTCTCTACTTTGGGCCTGGAAAGACAATCCCCTCTCTCTCCCTCGGCATGGGGATGGGGTAGGTGGAGGCTCTCTCATTTCACAGGATTGGGGGCGCCACAAGGAAGGCAAGGATTTCAGGGCTCTTTACTCTTTTACCCTTTCTATCTCTGGCTTTGAAGTTTGAGGCTCTGAATCCACAGAATAAAGCCTCACCCATCTTTACCCAGTGATGACACTGCCTGGACCCTGTTCTTGAGACCCCCAACTGTAGCTTCGTCTGTCCTCGCCTGCCCACATCCTGCAAAGCAGCCCTCAGAATGCAAGAAATCCAAGCAGCAAAGGGAGCTGGGAAAACCTTCATCCAACAGGGATATTTTTCCTTTAAAATTACATTTAGGTTTTTTAAAATGTGAATTGACAAAAATATTGTGTAAATAATGGTAGACTGGATACAGAGAAAATCAGAGAGATCACACAAATACACAGCTTGGGAGACTGGCTCCTGGGCTGAGCTGAGAAGAGGGCACCTCAGACAGTCTGCCAATCTCATCCCCCGCAAGGCAGAAGGTGCAGGGCGAGGATGCCCCCTGCTGGGCGCACTGGAGAGCACGTGCCCCCTGGGGAAAGGCTGGGTACCCTGAAGGCAGACCCTTAGGGAAGTTGCTGCTGGGTCTGTATCAGTTGTGAAGATGGGTATGCTGGAGAGTTTGGCATGTCCGAGCTTTGGGCCATAGAAGGCTGTGAGAACTTTGGGCCATAGAAGGTCGTGCTGTCTCCCAGGGAGATACTGGTGGCCTGGAACCCTGGGGGCAGGTCCCAAAGTCACTTGCTCACTTGGCAGCTTTGTGTGGGGACCTCTTGCTTTTTGGTTTCTCAACCTGTTCATCAGAGAAGTTTAGCGGTGGAAGTTGAACTCCTATCTTTGGGTGGCCCAGTTACCAGACAAACAAGAGAGTCAAATTAGGTGGGTTTCTTTCTTTTTTTTTTCGGTACGCGGGCCTCTCACTGTTGTGGCCTCTCCCGTTGCGGAGCACAGGCTCCAGACGCGCAGGCTCAGCGGCCATGGCTCACGGGCCCAGCTGCTCCATGGCACATGGGATCCTCAAACAAACAACCCAAAAAAATAATCGGCAGGTGGACTCTCAACCACTGCGCCACCAGGGAAGCCCCTAGGTGGGTCTCTTACCTGATGCCATGACTTACCTGATGAAGCAGTGGGGTTCAGAAGCCCGGAGGCCTGTTGAGTGTCTTGGGCCAGTGGCTAGTTTACTTCTGGAATGAAGATTGGCTCAGATGTTGCATCCTCAAAGATCTGTTTCCTAGTCGGGCACAGGGAGCCAGGCTGGGCTCACTACTCTATGAACCCAGCCACTTACTAGCTGGTTTATCTTGTAACAGTCCCGTGTCTCAACTTTCTTACCTGTAAGATGGGGATAATTATGCCTCACAGGACTCTATAAGAATTAAATAATATAATGGATGTAAAGTACTTAATACCCTGCTTGCACATGAGCTCAATATTATTATTATTATTATTACTTGTTAGCAGATGCTGACAGGAGAAAAGCGGTTTCTTATTACTTCCTCCTTAGTGTATATTGCTATTCTTTCCACAACTATCTTCACTGACTTGCTCTTTGGGTTTTTTGTGGGGTTTTTTCCAGCAGTTTGTGTGGATCAGGGCCTGGACCCACCTTCCCAGGGCAGGCTGAATTAGGGGTGCTCCTGAAGCAGGCTGTCCCCCAAGCAGCCTGAACTCGTGAAGTCACGCCAACCTCCCACCACCTCCACACCATCACAGCTGATGAGGCAGGCGTGACAGTGAAGACCAGGAGGTGTCCATCAGTCCGGCTGTATGTCCAGCTGTAGCTCCAGATCCAGCCACCCTCTGCATGCTGAGAGCTGAGTGTGAATGCAGGCAAGGACAAGGCTGGGTAGCAGGTGCTGAGGCTCTAATCCCTTAGGGGAAAAGGACAGGCGATCAAGAGTTCTCTGCAGAAACCCAGGAGGAAGACGTTGCCTGTCCTCCCATGCCAACCCCTCCTAGAATCATAGAAGGAACCATCCTGGACTTAGAAGTGGAAAAGAATCAGTCCCATATGTGTTTCCCTTTGAAGTATCATTTTGGATCAAACTTACCTGGAGGTGTAACTAGGGGAACGCTGGATCCGTCCTCAAGAAACCTAGATTTTACTCTCAACCAGAGCAAAGGTTAGCTGTGAGATCTTGGCAAGTTACCTGAGCTCCCTGATCTGTTAAGTTTTTGATCATTTCCAAGATTCCTTCCAGCTCTAAAAATCTCTGTCCCATCAGAAGGGCCAACCTTGTCACTTTCTCTGAGAGATGACAAACCTAGAGATGAGAACTGAAGATGGCAGGAAAAGGATCGGCTCTTCCCCCTACCGGGTGTTCTTGGACACATTACTCGTCTTCTCTGCCTCTGTTTATCTGTCTGTGAAATGGACCCATTTTCATAAGTGTGATGGAAATAAGTTAGACAACATCCTTCTCCAGGTGGGCATGGTGCATTGCACATAAGGAGTGCCCTCAGAATTGAATGATTGCTTCCCTCCTTACTGCCGTCCTGGTCCATCTGTTTATCAGGACCTGGGCAAAGCCACAGTGAACTGGCCCCTCAACTTTGTGAATAGCAGGAAGCCAGTGAGGATAGGGGAGGTGTTGAGAGACAGACTCAGGATCCCCAAACATCCTAACCTGCTGGAGCAACAGCCTGAACCTCACAAGGTAAAATGAACAGGGCTTAACTGAGAGATCCGGGCTTGGCTCCAAGGCACCGACTGTACAAGGACAGGGTGGGGAAGTAGCGGCTTAGCAGAAGCATGTGTGAATAAAACTGAGGGTTTTCACCGACAGCCAGCTTCATATGAGTCAAACGAGAAGGCTGCCAAAAAAACGGACAGACTCTTAGGCTGCTTAATTAAAGTGGAGTACTGAGCCCAGTGACTGTCCATCTTGACATCAATCAGCATCGCCTGGGAAGCTCTGGTAACACTGGATGCTCCTTGCTGTTCCCAGACCCTCTGATTCAGGACCTGGGATGGGAGAGGGGAAGGAAGTGAGGCGTTTGGATTTCCAAAGAGCTTCAGTCTTGGTTCCAGTGTGCAGCCAGGGCTCTAGAACCAAGGAAGAGTCGGTCGCATTCTCATTCTTGGCATGTCAGACCACATCTAATGTACTCAGGGACTTCAGTCTCGGTGGCTTTATCATGGGGAAACGCACAAGCTGGAGGGCATTTGGTGGAAGGTGGCCAGGATGTAGAATGCACCTGACATTCTGTGAGGGCTGGTGGAGGGAACCACAGCATGGACATAAAGGTGGTCAGGCGGTCCACCTTCAAATGGATGAGACTTGTTCACATG